CCCCCGGCTGCTGACTTCTCAGACCCCTGCAGTCAGAGTGCTAGGTGCCCCCTAAGTATCCACATGGCCTGGTTCTACAGAGAACCATGGGGAACATGTCACCAGCAGGACAGGCTCTTTGGCCTGCTCTTTAGCCTGGGCTTTTCTATTCATGGGCCAGGAGCGTGGGGATGGTGGGGAGGGTGTGCATAAAAGAACTTAGGAGCTCAGGAACAAGTAAGATAGCATTGCCTTGGCATCTGTACCTTGCCCCATACACAATCAGTTGAACTTCTAAGCATCACAGACCAGCTGTTGGAACCTAGGTCATAAGGATGTGGCTCTTAGCATTTTCTCACGGTATCTTCCAAATACATTTTTACTTTTATGATCAGAGCTTAATTCTTTCTTCAAGAAGAGAAAATTCTAAAAATAAATTAATACTTAAGAGTTGGTATAGCTGTTGAAGTTGCCAACCTAAAGTAAAAAAGTCACCCACCAACAAGACCTCAGCTGTTACCTTCACTGTCATTGGCTATATTTGCACAGCATTGTTCCCCTAAACAATACAGACACCTCTCTCTAGACATTCTCCTCCTGGCTATGGAGGACTGTTTACCTAACCTTGACGTTCCTTTGTACCCTGGATTCACATGATGAGATGTGATGGAGAATCCCAGCCAGTGCCTTTGAGGTGCTGCTGGTGGGCTGTGTCCACTGTGCCACCATGCACAGGCTGGCAGTGCTCCACCTACTTGTGCTCTGAAGCCACTAGGCACCTAGAAACAGTACTTAATCATATAATACAGATGACTTTGTAATATAATACAAAATTAGAACGTTAAACAGATACTGTTGTCTTCATATTGAAATCCTGGGGCAGAATGTCACTTGTCTGAGTGAGGTTCTCCAGATGCCATGAGAGTTCAGTGTTCTAACAACCAGTTAGGACAGCCTTGCCTGTGCCTCCTGAGGAGTTGCACCTCAGCAGCCTGAGGCCTGGGGGATCACCAGCTATCCTCAGGTAGCTCCTGGCACCAGCCATGACAGGCAGGAAGGCACTAAATTATTCTTTTAAAAATCAAAGGGTGGGGCTGTCTTGTTGCTGTTTGTTTCTCAGTAGAATTATAAAAAAAAAAAAAAAAAAAAAAAAGGCTAGACTGGGTGTGGTGATGCACGTCTCGGGAGGCTGATGCTGGAGGTTCTTTGTGAGTTCAAGACCAGCCTGGGCTACAAAGTAAGGTCAAGGCCAGCCTGAACTGCAGAGACTTTGTCTCAAAAAAAAAACAAAAAAAACAGAGCTGAGAAGGTTTGGCAGTGAGGGAAAAACATCAGTGACAAATCTTGACAGCAGAATTTATGCAATTGGGAATGATTTGGGAAACAGGAAAGCACCACTCCAATTGCTGATCTTGTGCTCATTTATTATGGTTTTCCCTCAGAATTTTCTTTTATGCTTTGTTTTGGAAAAAAAAAACAAATATTTTGGTATTTGCCATATAATTTTGAAAGTTATCAGAGTATTTTCTTTTAAATATGTGCTATCAGGGATGTAGTACAGTGGCACAGTGGTAAGTGTGAGGTTGTGAGTTTGATTCCTGGGACACACACACATACACACAAAACACCTCAATGGTTAAATATATACCATCCTTATAGCATGTGAAAGGTTGAATTGTGTCCTCTAAAAATTATATTCAAGTCCTAACCCCGTCTGTATCTGTGAATGTGACAGTATTTTGGAAACAGGATCTTTGCAGATGTAATTATCTTGGATGAGGTCATACTAGATTAGAGCAGGCCCTAAATCAATGACTGGTGTTCTTATGAGATAAAGAAAGCTCTAGTGCAGACACACGCAGGGATAATGGGTTGTGATGACGGAGGCTGAGATTAGACAACACAGCCACCATCTGAGAAGCCTGAGAATGACTTGCAGCCATCAGCAATAGAAAGAGATAGACACCAAGTGCCCTTCGCAGGAGGCTTCAGACAGAGCCTGACCCTGCCCAGCCTCGATTTCAGACTTCTATGCTATAGAACTATAAGACAGCACACTTCTGCTTCCGGCCACCCTATTTATGTTTCTTTGTGATGGCTCCTGAAGGAATTAATCCAGAGGGGTTGGCAATAGAAATGTTACTCTTGAAGAAATGTAGGCTTGAAAATGAGATGCATATCCCAGGTAGGAAAAGTAGGTGAAGTCACCTGCTGCCAATGAAGTATAAAATAACTTGCCAGAAAAATCACTAAAGTACCATCACCTGGATTTCACAAATGATGAGACATGTTAACAGTGTCAACAAAGGAAGGGTACAACATCAGAAAAAAAATATTTTTTAGATTGAATGAGTCTTTGCTTGTACATGTTTGTGTTTTTCTTTTTCTCATTCACTGAAAACTGGTGACCGCTTTGTGAACCAAGGTCTGGGAACTGTGCACTAGTGCTTCACACTGCTGCCCTAGGTCCTCTACCCTGCCACCTGGGTCCTGGGGGTGGGGGTGGAGATTGCACCTGAGGAGCTAGACTCGTACTGTATCATAGCTTCCTGCTAGAGAACTTTGAAGATACGCTTCTTTGGAAAAACTAAAGTTTATGACCACTGTGAGAGCCATTTGAACCATAAAGCATTCCAGTCCACACCTGTAATGCTACCTCTGACATGGGGATGCCTCCTGAACTTATATTTCCAGTTCTGCCTTTCTTTCAAACTAAGAATCTTATTTTTAACTGCCTTCCTAACCACTCTACCTTGGTGCCCTAAGCCATCTGAACATAGTGCACCCCCAACCCTGTAGTCTCTCCTATTCCCCAGTCTTCTCTTTTTCCAGTGTCTGCATTTGTAATAGAGAGAAAGGTAGAACCCATTGACCCTCTCTTGCTTACCTCTTGAGAGCTTGTTTGGAGGTTCTAGCAGGGGGTGCAGCTACTCTTGTGTCTTCAACCAAGGAATGGACCCCTCTTTTGGGAGTGATCATCCTCTTCTTCGACTGAGCACACAGTTTAGGGAGGAACGCACATGGAGCATTGAGGGACTAAGGGGATACTCACCTCACCAGCTAGATCAGCCGAATCAACCCAGGCAATCAATGGTGTGACACATATCACAGCCTGATCACTCTCCCTCCTCCCTCACCTCTTGTGTCCAGCTGATCACTACACCTTTTAAGGTGCCTTCTTAATATAGTTGAAGTTACTATTTACTCTAGAAAAAGCAAAGGAAAGCTAAGTTGGTGCCAGTTTCCCGGATCATAAATCAAGAGAACAGGTTGCCAAGCAGCTCTTCAGGTATGGTGCTTTGTCCTCGCAGGCCACCCCTCAGGCCACTTCTGCAGGCCTGCTTCCTAGGGTGAGTGAGCTCCCTGGGCCGAGAAAGGGGCAGTTAGGTCCCGGTTAGACTAGAAGGGGACTTGGTAAAATTTATTTTGAGTTCAGAGTTCTAGTAACTTAGAGTGTTGCATGAAAATCACTTACGTAAATGTTTCCAAAGATACTTGAGTTTCTAGAAAAACAATTTCATGTTAGTTCATGTGAA